TTTCAAAATAATTCAATGGCTATTTTGAAAATTGTTATCACAATATAGTTTACTCTATTTGTTGTTTAGTGTATTGTCAAAATGGAGAACTTTAAGAAGTGAGCAGCCAATTGTTGTTGTTCTTTTTTTGTTGTTGTTCGCTTCCAACGCCTAAGCCGCAAAATACACCCAAAGTTTATATTTGTTGTGCCTCATTCTTTTGTCTTAAATATATATTTTTATATGTATCTATTTTTGGCATGACACACAGACAGACAAGTTGCCAGGCCTAAACGGCTCAGCAATTTGCCTGCGTTGAACCCTTGTCCATTGGCTTAAATCTGATGCTGCTTTTATACAGTTCCTGCTGCTGATGCTGCTGATGCTGCTGTATCAGGTCTACAGTTTGCAGACAACGGTTTGTGTTTTGACAGACTTGTGAGTAACAATTTCAGCGCCCGAGCAAATGTTTCCAACTGAGTTGACTATTTGCAACGTAAATCAAAGGTAGCAGGCAGCATCACTTTTAGGAGCCTAACATATTCAGCATTTTTTGGTTTTTCTTCTTTTTTTGTTGGGATATTCAATATGTAGCGCTGTCTTTTATCTTCGCCATAATGCTTTGGCATAGCGTGACCTTGTGCACTGGGTATTTACGACCTAAATATTACAGAATTAATTTACCAAATTAAAGCCGGCATGCTTATCCAAGCCAGTGAGCTTTGCAATTTATCTGCAAACATGAACACACACACACACACACGCATATATATACACTCAAGCACCTAAAGGTATTAATTAGTATTGCATAACGAATTGGGGCCCAAGGGGCAGGATTAGGATCCAAGGGCAGGGGAGCACAGCCGAAGCGAAAGAACAGCGCACTATTGCGAAATTCAACGAGCTGAACATTTGAGCTACAACGCTTCCAACTAAAACTTATTATAATACAATAAACATAACAAGAAGGGCGAGCAAATGCTCAACACACAGCAACAACAACAACAACAACAAAACAAAAAAATCCATAATGACCAAGTTGGTTTCGCGTTTCAAGCTTTTTCTCGCGTGCACCTTTGCCGCATCGACAAGCGAAGCAAACTTCCATACACACACACACACATACACACAACCAGCAAAGCATATACTTACATTTACACGGCAACAAGGTGTTGACACTCTCACGCCCAGATGCGTTCTTATGAAAAGCAGCGATAAGTTGCACGACATCTAAGGACAGTTACAGACATCATAGAAACATATATATACAATATACACATGAGAATAATGACAGGATAGACCAGCCACAAAGAGGGAAATGCGATACGTGACAGTGTCTAAATATTGTTGTAACTAAATAGAAAGATAGCTGAATGCCTGAGTGAATGATTGAATGAGTGAGTTTTGAAAATACAGGTTGCCAGTCACTGAATGAGACAACTGTTAACATTTGCTGATTTTGTGTGCTTTTCTGGATTTTCTGTGTGCCAAATACACATTATATATGCCAGTGCCACAAAGTAGGCAACATTTTAATAAGCCATAAATTAAATTCACAAACATTAAGTATACTCACCGCTCAAAACGACAGCCATCCATTTACAAATAATGAGTACAGAATTTAAATAGCAAAATAGAACTCGAAAATTAATAACCATTTTATAATATTTAACATAAATATTAACTTTGGAGGCAACTTTATGAAATATTATAAATATTTAATGCTCACAATTAATTGTTGAGTGAATGTCTTACAAAAAATTACCCAAAATCTTTGAATAAAAAATGAGCTTATAAGCACAGCATAAATCTAGCTAAAGGCCACAGAGTACGGCATTTATCAAGCTGGAAGCTGTTCTCGCTTCAGTGTCTCTGTTACATCTCTCGCATATTTATTTTTATAGTCCTTTGGCAGTTATTTGCGGCATTTTAACATTTTTGTGTGGCAATTTTTGACGCCTTCCGATGCGCGATAAGCGCGCTGGACGAAACCAAAAATACAACAAAATTAAGCAAAAAAAAAAAAACAGAAAACAAAATGAGAACGCAAACCAAAGCCGCACCCAGAACGAGACTGGTGGTGCTATGGCAGACCCTAATGTATACATTTGAATGCCATTATCACAATATGCTGGCGATAGGCAGCCACAACACCAGCGACAAAAACAATAACAATAGAGCCGCGAACAGTCAGCCACAGAAAGCTACTCATTCATTGTCTGTGTTATGTGGCGGTGGCTCTACTAGCTTTTCCGTCTGTGTGTCTGATTGTCCGTCTCTCTGTCTATCTGTCTGTAAGTCTGTCTGCCTGTCTGTAAGTCTGTCTCTGTGTGAGACTTTGAGTTCGCCGCTTATTTCCAAGCAATTTACTTTAATTCCTCCCAATTTAGAGTGAGGCATTTGCCAGGCACAATATCAGCACCAGCAATTTCACCAGTTGACTAAAAACACTTGCCACACCCCTTAGCCAGGCAGCCCTTTTAGTTGCCACACCACCACACCTGCTCTCTCAACTGTAGTGCTGTGAATGTGTTTCTGTGTATAGTCCGGATAATAATGTTTTCATTGAGCGGAATCATCATCATCTACAAGCTAAGCACTTCATGTACTGCAGATTTTTGCATTGTGTATACAGCAAATTGAAATTGCAGTCATTTACAAAGGAGAGGATGGCATACAAAATTTGAAAGAAGGATTAACCAAGATGAAAGCATTTTAAGTCCAGTTATCACTTATTTATTTATTGTAAAACAAAATATTTTTGCTTGGCTCCATGAATCTATAGCTCGAATAGAGAAGAAAAGTGCGTAACAAATAAAAATTCTATGAATTTTAACAATGTTTTGAGGTGAGTTTTAAGGGAAAGAGAGTAAGCCTAATATGAACTTTGAATTGAAGTAGTTACCCTCGTGTTAGATAAGCTGTCAATTTCGGCAGCTTAATTGTAGCAAATTGGCTTAGGTTGGGTTACTTTCCGGCCATGTTCTAATAGCCAATTTCACTGTGTAGAGTTTGTGTGCCTAACAAACTTAACAAGCCTGGCAAAATGGTTGCCATCATCATCAAGGAGTGATTGTCAAGTGTGCAGGCGAGCATAAAAAATCACAAAAAGCCATAAGCGTGTTAATATCATGTCCAATCTGTCGAATCCGCCACGCCGTCTGGCGCCCGGCTCTGCCACGCCGGTCACACCAGCTACACAACCTGTAGCTGTAGCAACGGCAGTTCCAGCTCCAGCTCCGGCTCCGGCTCCGGCTCCGACTCCCGCTACAGCAACCGTAGCCACGGCTGTGCTAACTGCGCGGTTGAGCGGCGCCAACACGGTGACTAGCAGCGCATTAACACTGGATCAGTCAGCATCACGGCCAACCCAGCAACCCATGTTGGCCACATCCTGTCCGGATTCACCCATACGTCGCGTATCCTCCAGCTTAAAAAACTCTGCCCTCGATTTCGCCTCGCGCTTTTTCAACAAATGCAAGGCGGCCACATTCACTGTGGATGGCGCCACTTATACAATCGGTGAGTAAACTTCGCATTTCAAATAGGTATGAGTCTCAAATCGAGACTGCCTCATTTGGAGTAACACTCGTTACTTCAGTGCAGCGCATGAAAAGAGTACAAAGAAATCAATTGGAAATCATTCGACAATGCAAAGCACTAAGGTCAAACAAGCACACAAAAAAAGTACAAAGAAAAACACAGACATTTGTGGGATTCACAGTCGCACCTGATTGAAAGGATGCAACGAAGCAAATTGGTATTTTTTGTGCTCTCTTTTTCTCCCGGTGTGTGCCAATTGTCAGTGTCGTATTTTTCTTTGTAGACAATTTGATGCACAACAGGACTGGGTGTGTTTGAGCTTGTTCATTTGTCTGTATATGTCTGTAATTCAAACTGACATTGAGTACAAGGTCGTCGGTTGACATTGGCCCCAGTTTAAGGTGTGCAGGTGTGCCATTTTATTATTCAGTCGCAGTCGCTATTATAATTTCGTCACGAAATGGGACATGCTCCATGTATGTTCACCAGACGACTTCTCATTTAAAAAATGTTTTATTTTATCAAAAATATAAAAGGGTTTTTATCATAAGAACTGTCAATATAGCAGTACGGTTGCATGCCAAGGATCTAAAATTATATTTTACAAGTATGCATAGGGGTATTAAGGCAATGACATCTTAAAGATACCGCTTCCCTCTCGGTATATGTTGCTTCAATTTTATTTTTTTTATTGATTTTGTTGGCCACATAAAGTGCAACCAAAAGATAATTTTATGATGAGCATGCCTGTCCTGCTGCGTCAGTATCAGTCCAGTTCACTGGCAGTAAAGGTCGTCGATTATCGACCAGCAACTAAACAATTTTGCTATCTATATTTTATAAATGTAAATATTGACGAACGAAATTTTGCTAGAGGTAAAACAAACATCAAATTTATGTAAAATGTTTACAAATCCATTTATTTACGGAATGACCAGCATGTCAACGATTTCTTATGGTAAATTTAAGTCAGCAGTAAGCTCAGTCTAGTGATGTTTAGTAATAAGTCCTTCCACATTAATGGAACTAAACTGTGAGATGAATTAGTTGCGGTAAATTTTGACTTCGTTCGCGCTTCTGTGGTTCCGCTTTCATGTGGCAATTTAGTTCAGTGACTGCAGAATTACAAAAGGGAAAACCAAACTTTTTCAGCAACATTAATGCAAAGTTGTATATTTTGGAGATGTAACAACTAAGGTATGAATGAATAATAACAGTGAATTAAAATCATTAACATAAACATAGAACTGGTTTTAGCAGATAATAATTAACATTAACTATTACTTTGTAGAACATTAATTTAACGCCCAACAGCCCAGAGGACGCGCTTCAACCTCCAGCGCGTTGTATTTGACCCAAGTGTGCAAGCCAAAGGGTTGACGTGGTTGTGCAACCGGTCATTATACCGACTCGTATGTCGGTTAATTTGTTGTCTGACTGTCGGTAGACCGAAGTCGCTTTTATTCACATATGGTGGATCAGCTTTAGAAATCAATGTTTAATAGCTTTCAATAGGTTGATTAATGTTTAAATATATTTGCTACATAAAAAAAAAAAAACAACTAAAGTACTCGTAACTAAAATATTACTTATATCGCATTATGGATAAGTTTTAACCTAATCCATATAAATACGAAATGCTGATTGTTTGGTAACCGCGTTTATAATTAACACATGTATTTCACCGGCTCTGGGTCAAAGGTTTTATATTTTTTCAGATACTCCGATTCACATCCGTTCAGTCAGCTGTGGAGTTTGAAAAAACATATATAATCTATAAATGTAAATTTAAATCAATGCTTTATTTTATTTCCATACCTTGAAAAGCTGTTTGCTGCATAAAATTAAACTAAGTTATTCAGCGTAAATTCTGGAAAAAATGCATTTGTTCGGTTTACTGTTCCACTCAGTGAATTGCAATTTGCGCAGCAGCTGAAGCACTAGATTTAAATCTGCTGTGGATTACTGTCGAGTCGGCTAAAGTGCAGATTCGTATTTTTTGCTATTTGCATAGTATGCTGAGCATGGAGGACTGGAACAAGCGCTTATAATATGGCGAGCTGCGGATAAATCCTTGGTGATAAGTCTCATTCAGGTTGCAGTTGCACATCTGGCTATCCAACCAGAAACGGTCAAAACCATGCACCACATTGACCAAGATTACCGTGCCATGTTCTCATTGCTAGACTGCGCTGTGAATCTCGAAAGTAATCCAGTCGAGCACCTGCTCCGTTGTGCCATGCTCCTCTTAATAGTCGAGTGGTTGCACGCAATATTTGAAACAACTGTGTTAAGCACGATTGTAGGGGTTTGTTTTATCTCTATAAGGCTTTGCATTCATTATAATGATTGTCATTTAAATTTTTGGATTTAAAGTTATTGTGCAAATACATCTGTTCTATTCCATTTTCTATTCATTATTTTATCCATTATTTTGGCCATTGGCAAAAATTAAAGTTTTCATTTGCACAAGCAACTGATTTCAATTAATTCCGAAATAAATTTGCAAGGTAATCTTATTGTGTGGGATTAATAAGTCGATTTTCGTTGGGGTTGCATAAATACCAAAAGCACATTTCGTAAAAGCTTATTTAATTGCATTTCCTCGTTTATCCTTTCTAAGCACTGAACTGTCCACTCCATACCTGTCCATACCTGTCTGCATGGCGAAACGAAAATATTTAAACCGAAATCTCACGAGCCAAGGTATTAAATGTGCGCAAACCTTTTCCCGACTCTGGCCCCACTCAGAGAGTTACTGCTACAAGCAGCTGCGAGCCAGCGATATGCCATAAAAGATAACTTGGCTTGTGTTTTATTTGATATGGCACGCAGCTCGGGAGCTCTGAGCCCGAGGAGTTCCCAGAAGCCACATCTCAGGCAGACTTCGTGCTCCTCGACGTGTTTGTGCGTGCATGGATGGAAATGTGTTTATTTGAAATCTGCGATAAATCGTTTCAATTTGATACATTGATATCGAATACTTAATTTTGATTTACAGCATTTGAACTGAATTCAGTATACAGTATGCCTGATCCAAATAAAAATGTAAAATATTTAAGGATATACATTAATTTACATGCATTAATGCGGTCAATAATTGTACGCAAGCCAAACACAGAGATTGTTAGTTGCTGTGAGCTGGCTGGCTGACTAGCAGCCCCACTGCTTTTAATGCTTTTATTTTTAATGATTTCAATTAAAATGTCATTTAAACTTAATCGAAAATGCGCTGCAATTAAAGAATGACTGCCATTGTTGTCCTCCGACAGCTGCGCCCAAGGGATACGCCTGAAGCAGAACAAAGCAAAGCAAGGCAAAATAAAGCAATGCAAGACAAGTAATGTAAAATTGTCAAGTTGCGGCAGACAGACTTGGGGACTTGCCTTTGCGTAGCCCTTGCATCCGGGCAAAGAATCCTGGCTGGAAGCGAAGTGCATCAGCTGTGACATCAATTAAAACTTGTGTGGCCGTAATGCAATTAGAATTGCACCAAATGCATGACATGGGGATGCTCTCTCTATGCATTTAATCGTCCAGTCGCAGAAACAGCTGCAACAAGTTGTTCCCAACGGCAGCCCCATTAATAAGTCTCAGCGGTCTTAACTGGGGGCCAAAAACTTCTGCATAGTTTAATCTTTAATTGGTAATTTCAGTATGCACAAGTGCCCCGTTTGCGGAACGAAGTACAAACGGGTCTGGCCAACCATCCAACCATCCAACCATCCAACCGGGCAACCGGAATTGAGACCAACGCCAGCCACAGGACACAAGTGAACGACAATGGTCGTCTTCAGACCATTTCCAGCTGCACCCTAGCTTTCTATTCCTGCTCCACTGCTGAGCCTGCGGAAATTGCATTGTCAACGCCAGATGTTAAAAGACGGCCAACCATTTCAACTACCTACCTTGCTACATGCTGCCTGGCTTATGTCTCTGCCGGACATGCCTCTACTAGTTGCCGCTCTGTATCATAGATGCGCAAATTAAAAATAATGACAAGCAAGAACTGAAAGCCATTTTAAGCAGAATATATTGCACCCTAACCATATATAAGGTGTTCTTAAGTAGACATCTTAATTATTAAGTAGAGAAGCAAACATGTTTTCAAAACTGAAATCGATAGGCACCTGTAGCTTCCTCAAGATAATTAGATAATTTATAAAAATCATTGGGATAACATCGACCCACTAATAATTCAAACTTAAATGTATAACTTAAATAAACATTTATACAATTTGGTGTTAAATATGAAATATAAAACACCTATCAAAACCAAACCACTTAATTATGAAATAAACAACAGACAAGCCAAATAGCACTTGAGCAAATGAAGAAACTCTCGTTTGGATCGAGTGTCAGAAGCACTGGCAGAGTGGGAGCTTGTTAATCGAAGTCCAGTCACAATTTCAGTTTGATTGCGATTCACACGCTTGACTCGTGCAATTTGTTGTTTTGTGTGACTTGGCCTACCATTAATCAGGAAGTTACACTCTTGCAACGCCATTTTGTTGCATGGCAGCCATTGCCATGGCTCGCAATGTGGCAGTCAGCTTGACGTTGATTTACTTACAGTTTCCCATCGACACACCATTGCTCACACACACACACACACTCGTCGTAACCTGTTGCAGTGGCGACTGAAACACGCTAACTGCTGCGACAATTTATCGATTGAGACCAGCCAACAGAAGGCACAGAAAGAAATATTAATAAAAAAAAATTAAAATCGATTTCACGCTCAAATTGATTGGCTTTTATTGCAGGGCCATTTAATTTATGGCAAACAGCCTGCTGCTATAAAACCAGGCACGCCGAACAATGAGCGACAGCATATCTTTGCGACTTATATAAATTTAAATTGCGACTGAGACAGCAAATGCGGAGACCACAAAAAAAAAGAAAGAAACGCAGCTAAAGCAAATTCCATGAGGCTTGAGGTGACGACCTATCCAAGCTGCTGTTGCTCCAACATGTTGTAAGTGTTCTTTGCCTCCTTGCCTCCTTGCTGGCAACATTGATTTTCTGCTATGCTGCTAAATGGCAGACACGGAGCACACCGCACATCCTCCCGATCCCTTGCCCCTGTCAGCGCACACAGCCATTATTATGTTGTGGATTTTCGACTACTCCGCTCTCTCTCTCACTTACATTCTCCCTCTCTCACTCTCTCTCTCTCTCTCTGTGTGTGTGTGATGTGCTGCCGTTGTCGAAGTTCTGTTGAGGTTTGCGGGCATATATTGTGGCAAAAGTGTTTTTATATCAGCAGCAGAAGTGCGAGGCCAGACCCGACCAAACCAGACCAGACCAGCCAAGCCCAGCTCAGATCAAACTAGAGCACATATTCTGACATTCTGGCATCCTTTACCCACCTACTACTGGCTGGTGTCATTTGGCGAACACAGCTCAACGCAACTCGCTCTCCATTTTGGCAATTTGCTTCGGATTTGGCATTAATTTTTCATACAGGAAATTGAAATGTTCCCATAACGGGAAGTCGTTAACTTACCAAAATGGCGCCTGCAATGAACAACAATGTTGCTGCCTTTTTTGTTGCTACAAGTGCTTTAAGGCCAGAAAAATTATACACTTTTAGCGCCGGCTTAAAATTCAATTAAAACTTTATTAGTCAGGACATAACAAGATAAAGTTTAATAAATAAATTGTGGTTAAGACGCAGCTTATCGAATTTGGCCACCTAGCAAAAAGTTATACCCAGCACCTGACGCGTGCGTAAGCCACATAAACCGTTAGCATGCTGAAAACTTGAAATATCCAATCATTGGAAAACGACAGCCAAACCATGTCGAACCGTGTCTACATTCAATTTAATTGCCATCGCTTCTGTCCTTCAGCGCTTTCATTTCCTAATGTCCGACTGTCTAAGTCCAGGTGCTCTGGTGCCGCATCTGTAACGGTAACTTCAATCAACGGAAATTGAAACGCAAACCAAACACAATTACCCACAAACACACAGAACCCTAACCTGTCCTAATGAAAGCGAAACGACCAACAAGTGCAAAATAAACGCTGTTACCATTGCCAGCCGCTTTGTATATTTGTCAGTTCGCTGGAGCCATATTTATTTTATTGACAGCATCAGTTTCAAATAGATAGAACGGCCGAACAGCCACAGAAACAGTGGCAATACAGCGCAGAGCATTTTATACATTAAGTTTCAAACGAGCCCCAAAACTTATTGTTGTTTATTTTACGATATAAAAAAAAAAAAAAACCAAAACGAAAACGAAAACGAAAAGAAAGAAAAAGGCCAACACAAAAATGTAATTTAAAAAGCAACTCGATTGACGTGCGAATACTTCAGCTCTGTGTGCTTATTGTTTGGGTTGTGTTGGCTGTGTTGGTTGGGTGGGTTGTGTGGGTTGTGTTTTCCCATCGATTCATGGGAAACCAAAAATTGTTTACGTTTCAGCAATCGAATCAACAAAAAATACGAAAGCCAGCCAACTCCCGCACTCACGTGCTATTCGAATTGTTTTATTTCCGTACTCGAATTAGATAAAAAGATAGAAACTATATCAACAGGACGCCGAAGTTATTATACTCTTGCTAACTTTAGTTTTTGTATGAACTATATTTTAGGCTATTAGACTTGTATATTATTATCATAATTATATAAAATGTGTTGACTTTTAAAAGAGCGTATCGGTTATCTGGCCTTGCCTACGCTGATTAGCAATCAATGTACAAAGTTTTCTAATTATGCGCTTGTAGATAAATGCCAACAATTTTATTGGTAGTACATTTAATCTAATGGACTGCAATCAGCTGATTATATATAGACTCCAGCACAAAGCTTTCACTCTCGTCTTCATCATGGAACGCTGCCACTCGACCTAATTGAATTTGAAGGCCACTGAAGGAGACGCATTTGCATCATCAATCATGCGCGCATTGCATACTTCATACTCCATACTTTTGCTGTCAGCATCAGCAATATTTTATCAATTTACCAAACACTTTCTCATTTCAAGGTGGTGTCAGATGATGTGTAGAGGGTGGATAGCCGCCCAAGCATCTGGCCAAATAAATTATTATGGCAATCATCGGTGACTTTTATTTAAGTTGAGGCACAGCCTACGCTGCCTCTGTCCCTTATCCAAAGAAAAAGTGACCCAATCAAAACGAAAAAAGAAAATCTAAGAAACGCCACAAAAACAAAAAGGAAAAGATATGACTGAAGGCAGACAGAAACAATAACACAGCAGGTGATATTTTTTATAGACAACTTCTCGTTTTATAGCTTTTGTGTGCTACCTGGCGAAATTGCTGCCGTTCATTAAGCACCTGGCGAGCGAAACCTGCCCAGGTCTCCACATTCTAAGTGGGGAGGTGTGTGAATAAAAAAGTTGAACTTCAATTTAAAGTTAAGATTTCTTTATATTTCTTTTTCTCACAAACGCAATACCGAAATGCATTGAACAAAGCTGTTGAGAATCTGGAAAGTAAAACTTTGCGCTTACCTGCATCTGGCGGTGCAAAGGTACTCAACTTTGACCACTCCGCGCTTTCAAAATGCGTGGGGCGTGGCCAACACAATACCCAGAAATGTTTGGCACTCAGTAAAGTTTTTTGCCACCGTGTTCATAGAGCGAACCAAGCTGCTAAAAAGCTGGCGTAATGGAAAAGTGGCGCTTAAATTACGAGTTCCCTTCAATGCCTTTGAGCATTTTGTATTTCGCATTCCGCATTTAGCTGGTAGTCAGTAGCAGCAACAGTTTGCGGAACGCTCAATAAACGCGCTAACTTAGTCCGCTTATCACTGGACCTTTGTCTGCAACGC